CCTGCTGATAATTTGATTCCTCTCCATTAATCTTCCCTACTCCATGTCAAATGTTGAATGTCTTCAGCTCTATTAGTGAGATGCTTGAAGAAATCTGTCCAGCTCATTTCCCAAGTGAAAACTTTTAATTTAAATTCAGTATAATCCAGTAATATAACTATGTAGTCACACAGAATTCTGTAATAGGATTCTGGAATTGAATTCTGCCAACACACCTTATACCTGAGATGACATAACAAAAAGCTGAATGAGAGGAGGCATATGCATAGGTATGTTGGTAACATCACAAGTTACAGACAGTGTCTTTCATACTGAGTTGCCTTGTCCCATCAGTGAGTTCATGAGCAACGGCTCAGTTTAGCTGTCCAGATAACCCGCTAATGGGAATCTGAGCTGGCCTTAACCACCCCTTCTGCTCCTTCCAAGTTTTAGGAAGATCTGTCTGCTTACCTTCTAGAATAGTTCATCTATTAACCTTATTTAATGAAATGAATTTTCACATGTTTATAATGAAAAGCTCTTGTTATGGGACATACACAAACATATCACATTTCACATCTCCTTTTAATAAGATAATCTTCACAGTGTTTAAAGGATCTCCTGAGACAGAAATGCCATTGAAATAAGACAAATGTGCAATTTCATAAAAACAACTATCAACAAATAATATTGGCAAAAAATAAAAATAAACGCTAGCACCAATAGCATCAGTATGGTTTAGGAAATTAAAAAATATCAAAGTGATTGGAAGGATATTAGCAAAGTCATGGCTTATCATTTGCATTCATAATGTTGAAACCAGCTATACTTTTACAAAACTCTTACTGTTTCACGAGTCTTTACTAGTGAAATGTTGCGGGGGTAAGTCAGGATTCCTACCACATCAAGTGCTATGCTGCTGTGTTTTCAATGAATAGGACCAGGATTTCTTGAAATCTTTGTAATGCATGAACAGAACTACTTATTTCACCTTCAGGGAAATCCATTATAATAAAGTAGGAAACTCAAACACAAGAAGTTATTCAGGAGCTTTTCTCTTACAGAACTGGGCACTGGGCCCATGCACCACCCAGAAATAAGTGAAGAAATAAGTGGTCATTCCTTACGGACTGATTAGTATTTTTCAGATATATTTTCAGGATATTTCCCAAAATGTTAAGGCATTTTTCAGTATTCATAGTGTCTATTTCTGATTTTTTTAACAAACCAATTATTAATTTTCCCCAACAAGAATGCTGTTTCCTAAAATAGATATTTGTATTTTTACTCAAGGAATACAGCAGACTCTGTACTATGGGCAACATTTCTCTTTTATCTCATAAACGAGCCATATGAACAGCCATACTAATTCATAGCTATGAATAACATCTATCCCTCTACACTGTATTTCCCACTGCCCTCTGCCCTATGGTTAAAATGAAGGGGACTTAATGGTAGCTTATTTAAATTACTCAACCCCACCTCTGCTGTTAATATTTTAATGGAAATGTAGCTACTTATTTTATGATCTACAATTCACAGAGAGACTGACTGTGTTAGCATTTTGTCACTCTGCCATCCCAAACAACAGGGATTCAAATTCTGTGTTACTAAAAATGTTTGTTATTAATCATTATAATAATAGTTATGTAGGGCATGGGGGAATCTTAGCCTGACAATGTCCCTTGAAGTCTTAGAGCTGTCCAGCAATAGAAAATTAAATATAAAATATATAATTTAAGTTGGAAAACCTGTGGTGCCACTACCAGACAGCTGTAAAATCTCCAAGGCAATTCTAAAAACTGTTAGAAACTTTTAGGCAAGGTCCCAGACTAGAAATGAAAACTATTAAGTAGTAAATAGGAAGGGTTAATGTACTTAGAAGGGGAAACTCTTAAACAGTATGTCAAGAATAATAGTTATTGCTTCCAACATGTAGGGGAATTTTTAAAGTTTTAAACGAATTATTGACCTCAGTTTTTTTTTTTTTTTAATAATTAGCCTACCAGAACGTGATGAAACTGTTGTGTTTAAAGATACAAGTGATCACAAGCAGAACTGGTAGCTTTGGAGTCTTATTCGTCCCTAGTCCCCATTGGATAGTTGTGGAAGAAGCTGTGTATAGAGTCTGGGTGCGAGCAGATCGGGTTTTTTTCTTTCCTGTTCATTTGGCTCTGTTGAATCTAACTTTGCATGCTTTGCTGTTTTTTGCCCCCTTTCTCACTTCCAGGAAGAGAGCCCCCTGAGTGTGTCTAGCCCAGAGTGTATTGGTACCTGGCTGCATTACATCAGTGGTGTGTGTACTGGGCGTCAAAGACACAGATCAGGGGAACAAATCACTTCTTCCCCTGTCTTCCCTAAATCATTGCCTTTCACATCCAGTATTTTTGGCTCATGGCAACAGGTTTTTAAACTTCATTCAACCTTATTATGCATTTCAAGCAACAGCCAACTGTCTTTAAGGACATCTAATCCCTTAAGAGCAGGCTGGTCTAGGTATGTGCATACAATTGACATTTCGTTTCGTGTTAGCTTTTCTTCTGCCCAGTGTTCTGCACAGTTGTGCTTCCTTTATTTTTTTTTTCCTTTAATTTATTGATCAATTGATTTAAATCTTTTTCCAGGACCAGGTAGCATTTGTAATCAATAATATCTGCTGATTGTCTGAAACAGTACAACCTTTTGAATGGGACAATTTTATTTTTTTGCAGCAAAAGTGTTTACGTAAATTATAGTTGAAAAGAGCAAATTATTGGAGACTGTTAACGTTCCTGACTCTTTACTGCCCAGAACAGGTACAAAGGATTATTTTTAGCATAATGTAGCTCTTTAAGATTTTGTAGTTCATTACTGAGCTGTTGGTTTTTGTAGAATCTTTTGAAAAGGCCTAGAATGGAAACCATTAAAACCCTTTTCTTGAAGATAATTAATGTTTCCTACCATGGGCAACTGATGGAATTGAAGGTGTGGTATCTAAGCAGGGAAAAAAACAAAGAAACAAGCTTCAAGTTTCTTGGGTGTATCAGGGCTTTTGCACACAGTCCCTTTCAAAAATCGATTTCTCTCTTTCAGTGCTAGAATTAATTTTGCTCTAATTCAATGACTTGTTTCAAATTCTTGTAATACAAGTGATGTTTTCTTGTTGTTTCTTTGAAACAGGCATTCATTTGACCAACATGCAAAAACATGACATTTCATGCTAATGTAAATTAATATTGTATCTTCCTTTTTTTTTCTTTAAGTGTAAAATGTCTTTTCATGGGAAAAATGCAACATAGGAAATGTATAAGCTATGTATATCAGGCTAGAGGTAGCTTTTTCCTTTCCTTATAAAGATGTGTATTTTTGTCTAATCTTTCTGTGATTATTTTCTCCCTACTTATATATTTTTTCCTTAGTAAAATGCATACATCAGGTGCTCTCCTTTACTGAAGTTCTGTTTTAATGTGTGCTTGCTACATGCTTGCTAAGTTAAACAACTTTTTTTTTTTCGTCAGTGTGACACAATATGGCTTGTGGAAGATGAAATATTTGTGTGTGTAGGTCAAGATGTTACTTTTGGTGCTTTTGCCACAGACCAGGCACCCGTTTCTTTTGGCTGTGATTGGTCACATGTGCTAGTAATGTTTCCTCTCATTTGGGTCATCCAAAGCAATGAAAGGAAATATCTCCAAATAGTTGGTCTAGTGAACCATTTTTCCCTTTGAGTCATAGTGAAGATAAAGGAAAAAAAATATGGTACTTTTTTCCATTTTATTCACTGGTATTTGTAAGTCTCATATATGGTGCATTATAAAAAAAATCTATTTCTGTGTATGACTGTGAAATGTTGCAGTTTGAAAGCCGTAGTGGTGGTGGGGGGGGGAGGAGATATCAGATCAGTATCGGATTTACGAACAGTCTGTGGACCGTAGGTCCGATCGCCTTCCTAGGAGTGAAATCGAGATCCCAAATAGTGTAATCACCTATAAGTTCGACTCTGGCAGTATCGGATTCACGAACAGTCTGTCAACTGTAGGTCTGATCGCCTCCCCCCAAACAAGTAGTCGAGTTCACAAACAGTGAGAAATGATCAACTAACTTAAAAATACTGATGGTGAAAATTTTAGGATTCCTGACTCTTTTCTGGTGGATTTTGGCTCTGTTTTTTCCCCCCAAAAAATCACTACTCAATGTTCAACTCTAACCTGATATAACCTTGTATGCCAGAATCACCAGCTCATTCTACTTGTTTTCATACACTTCATGACACATCTTGTAGCTATCAACAGCCCTCTATTTAAGGGCTCTGTTTAAGCTTGTTACCTTTCTTTTTTGGGGGGGTGTTTTTTTTTTTTTTTTTCTTCCTCTCTCTCTCTTTTTTTTTTTTTAATGTTTTGGTAGCTGTTACAAATTTCAGGTACCTGTTTTTCTCTTTCTCAGACATCACACATGGTTCTGCTGTTAAAAGGTTTTCAACCACAAGGCTGAAGAGGGGGGATTCCTAAAAGGAAAGAGTTTTTTGTTTGTTTGTTTGTTTGTTTGTTTGTTTTCCTCTCAGGATCCATTTTGAATTTCCTTTCAGGTTTTCTGTAACATTCCACTGAAAGATTAATAGGTATTTTAAAAAATGAACCCAACAGTGTCCCACTGCATTTCTGTGCAAGAGTAAGATTGAAAAGTGTAAAAATGAATTCAGCTGATGACAACACTTCCACCAGGATAGAGAGAACTCTTCTCAAAGAAAGGGTTTGTGCTTTGCATGCACGCACAGTTACATAGGATATTAACACGTGTGTCAAACCTTTCTAGTGCTTACACTAAAGCTTAGCTGCTTTTTAAGAAAAAAAAATACAACTAAAGAGAGTGTTGGTGTTTCTTTTGCACATGGAAAGCAAGTTTCCCTGAAATGCAATGTTTTCCCTTACTTTAGTGAAGCTGGCATAAGCACGCTGCAGTTGACTGTATAGCTGGCGTGGCTCTCACTCAAATTTGAGTATGGCCATGGTGGATTCAAGTATCAACCCAGACATCCTTGGGTTGAACTTTTGTGGAGTGTTTTTTTTTTTTCTACATAAATCACTAAGGGAGGAGCAAATGGGGAACACTGGCTAGCATAGGAATATTATTATGCTTATTATTTTGGGGAGAGGGAACAGTTCACAGTTAGATTGCTATCTCTTAAAAAAAAATACCTTGAACTGAAATTCGAAACATTATTTCATTCACTGTTGTTTCTTCATTTAAGTATCATAAAGGAAATGTAGCAACTATACATTTACAGTATTGAACTGCAAGCTTGGAATGTTACAGCTATATGTGAGAACACTAATGGACACATTTTCCTCTTTTGAAATGCAATTGGATAAAGAGAGCTGAGTTATCCAACTTGCTCAGTTTACAGAAGTGCAGTTTTATGCCACAATGGGTTTAAATGCTTTTGATATATTAGTAATGCAAATATGCATGGTTGGTTTATGATAAATACTAATGTAGAAGAGTAGAGTCCAGTAAATTTTAGATTTTTGGTTTGGTATACTTACCCATGCTAATATACAAAACTTCTAGTGTTTTAAGTACTGATTTTTAAATCCACAAAGGTAGGTGTAAATCTGTTCTACACAATTAAAACCTGTAACCTCAAAGTACCCAAGTGCTAATCGTGGTTTTCCATGGATACTGGAGACAACAGTTGTTTTCACAGAATACTCGAGATGATAGAAGGCGACTTCTTCAAATTTTTCTCATTGAGAGCTTTAGCTTTTTAGCTCTTCTGTCTCAGCCAGCTGTTGACAACACAGCTGTCCACTTGCATGAATGAGTTACCTATTCAGTGTTCTGCCTTGTATGCGAATGAGTAGGAGAAATACTGCCATTTCTTGACTTTTTTTAGTGACTTAAAGGAAGGTTATTCTTCATGAACTGATACAATGTTTGTAGACCAGTTCTGTACATGTGACTTCTACACGTGCATGGGACTTGTATCCCATGCTCTGTTACATGGTACTTTGAGTTTAGTTTATTCTGGAAATTGGTCCACCTTTTTTCAACTCCATGTTGTATTAACATCAGGATTCCAAGAGTATTATGTCTGCATGTATTGATTTTAAAATAATTATTTTGTTTTATGCATTAATGCTTACCTATGCAATAGCTTAATTCCTGTCTTATGTTTGGAAATCTTTTATTATTATTATTTTTGCAGGTTTTGAACTGTATTCCATGGTGCCTTCTATTTGCCCTTTGGAAACCCTACATGATTCCCTGTCTCTAAAGCAGGTGGATGAATTTCTTGCCTCTGTTGCTGCTCCATCAAGTGAAAATCTACAGGAGACATGTACTGCTTTTAGTTGTAATTATGCTCATCTTAAATTGTTAAATATTGTCTAGTTAATCTTTCCACTATTTTATAGCAAATGATTAAACTAAGAATATTGTTTCTTTAAAAGAGAAAAGGAAGAAAAAAACCCCGCAACATAGATTAACGGCAATATTAACTTTTTTGGTATCCTCTTGTTATAGTACCATGTACCATGTAACAGATTTGAATCAGTAGCTAATTAGATAGTGCAGGCTAAATTAACACAGCTCATAAATATTTTAAAGTTCTTAGGTATTTAAAAAGTTTCATTATATTGTTTAGGATTGGGAAAGATGGTGCCTCTTAAAAGCAGTAAAGAATTGGCAGTTCACAAGAGGGTAAAAAAATACTAACAAAAAAGGTCATGCTATTGGAGTGGTTTGGAAAGCTGGATTTTCACAGTTCTGCTTATGTAGAGATGATCTATCTATAGATCCTTCTGCTTTCCTACCACATTGGGGAGGTGTCTAGAGAGTCGTCCGTTGTATATGTTCCTTAGACCTGTTGGGCTACATGGGGCATTTTGGTGACCCATGAGCAGTAGCACTAACTGTTGCCAGTCGTCTTCTGTTATTGAGACTTGGTTGCCAAAGATGCTCTCATGCCACTTTCTGAGGTAAAAAGGAGATTTTTGTCTTTTACTCTTTGAAGTTTTACACAAGAGAGTCAAAAATCTGTGACTGGCTTGCAGGGCTTCTGGCTAAGACTTTGGTAGTATTAGACAGATACATGGTTCTGTCACTGTTATTTTTAGCATTTTGCTATTAATAATGGTATTTTTAATATTTGTGATGTGTATCTTTTCCCTGCCCCCTTTCAGCTTCTCCAACTTGCATGAGTCCACTGTCAGGAAGGAAGAGTTTGTTAAATACATACACCCCTGCAAAAATTCTCCCAACACCACTTGAAGCTTTGCCTGAAAGGCTAGCAGTAGAGAAAATACCCACATGTAAGTAACTTCTGGCAGAGGTAGAATAACAAACCTCATTTAATTGTTTCTTGCAGGATTTCTCTTCTTACATATTGTGTAATTTCTCCAGGCAGCTATTTCATAGCATTCCCTATATATGTAGGTGGGAACATTTTAGTAGTCATCTAGAACTCATGGCATCGCCCATGTTATCCTAACAGTAAAGCTTTGTTAATAGCTGATTTCTCTTATGCTCCAGAGTGTTTGAAAGAAATGTTATGATCTGAAAATTCACTTTTTTTTTGTCTTGTTCTGTAAGTATTTCAGCATTTCTAGTCTTTCTTAGATGAACAGAGGTTATTTATTTAAATGGCAGCCTTGCAAACATGAATAGAATTAATGAACCAAAAAAAAAAAAAAAAGAAAAATCCTAACTGAAGATTTGCTATTTACAAAATAGGTAAAAGAAGAAAAATGACCTGGGAAATTGAAATGGTTGGTGCTGTGCATCTCAAAATTCACTGTTGAAAGGCAGGATTCCTCACAGACCTTGTAACAGGGAAATTAAGAAAGAGGAAAAAGACCAATGAGATTCAAAGAAAATTATTTTTTTAATGTTTTGATAGTAACACTAGCTTACTGCACGCACAAGATATACTTCCTTTACTGATTAAACAGCATACGCATGAGCAGGGAACATATGTACAGTTAAAACAGTTAATTTTTCTTCTTTTTTTTTTTTCATTTCATTTGACTACTTCAGAATTTTGCTGCTCATTGGTATGTGGGCCTGGAAGTTGCAACATTGCTTGAAAAAGAACTTAAAAATAAATAAATAAATTTAGTTTTTGATCTTTTTGATCTTTTCTTGACTTGAAACTACTAACATGACCTTGCTTTTTTTTTCTCCTCCTTTTCCTTTGAGTTAGGCTGTTTGTGGATGCCCCCCAGTTATTAATATCCCATGCTTTCTATATTGGTTTCATCCAGAGGTGGTTTTATTGCGAAACTGCGTGTTCAGATAAAACTTCTTGTGCATTTGCTCTAGTGGTACATTTCGGATTTTTTTTTTTTTAGCTTAGTACTAGTGCTAAGTAGATTGGTATTACAGTTTGCACTGTTGGAGGCACATTACCCAAACAATGTTTATTTAAATAGAGAAGAATCACAGACTGGTTGAGGTTGGAAGGGACCTCTAGGGATCATCTAGTCCAGCCACCCTGCTTCAGCAGGGACACCTAGAGCATGTGGCACAGGGTGGCATCCAGGCAGGTTTTCAAGATCTCCAGAGAAGGAGACTCCACAACCTCTCTGGGCAGCCTGTTTCAGGGCTCTGTCACCCTCACAGGAAAGAAGTTCTTCCTCACAGGGAGGAGGAACTTCCTGTGTTTTAAGAAGCTACTAGATAAAAGATTTTCTGAAAGATGTTAATATTTCAAAATGTCTAGGTATAACCTGTAGTAAGTATGCTGCAGCATCTATTAGGAAGTTCCTCCTCCTCTTTTCTGTGATACTTGGGTCAATACTGTTCTGTTGGAAAGGTGGCACCATGAGAGGCCAGTCGGAGCTCCTCATTCATGCCAGGGAGCTGGGTGAAAGCAGCTGACAGCTTTAGGCGTATGTGGAGCACATGCAGCTTGAACTGCCAGCTGGCCACGCTGTCTGCTCTTGGGCATCTGTGCTGCTTTAAAGGTTTCGAGAACAAGGTCAGGTTGCATTTCAAGGGCCTCCTTAGAGACAGCTCTGCTAGTCTAAACTAGCTGGTCAAGGCTACTCGGAAAGAACTTGCAGACTTTCCTCTCTGTTGGGTCATGGAGTTTGAAGGTAAACACTGATATTTACCACTTTTTTTTTTTTAATGAAAATACTTTTGCTTAGACTTGTCTATGTTAGAAACTTTTCCTTGGGAAAGGTCAGTAGATTTATGAGAATATTAAATAGGGAAGGTTGAATTCTTAGTCCCTTTCTTACACTTGAAACGATTTTTATTGTACTGCAACTCCAAGAAGTGGGTGTGTTTGTTTGCCTTCCCCCCACCCCCACCCCTGCCAGCTTTGGCTTTTCTGTTCTGAGTTAATTTCTTGCTTTCTAGGGTTTTCAAACCTACTTTCCTCTGTTTTATCTATTAAAATGCATACCTTTTACCGATAGGCTCACTTGGTCAAACAAAGTACTTATTCTACTGATAATATATGTGGTTTTGAGGTTATTTGCCATTTTAGTGTTCGTATAAAGAATTTTTAATAGTGATGGATTGATAGATGTGTAACTTCAGGATCTGTTTACTTTAAGATCTAATTATTGTAACATTGTGCATGTTTCTGTGCTTTTGTTGCATTTGCCTTCCTTTTAAAATCTTTTTACCATGGATGTTCTTATAAAGAAAATATATATAAACATAAAGAAAAGATAATATCTATAAAATCTAATAATTTTCTTTCTGTTCTTACCTTTGCAGCTACCAGTGTATCTGCTGGCTGTGAATCTAATGTTAAGCTGTCTCCAGAAGAAACCTCTTGGGATGTAAATGTTAGTGCTGAAACTCTTTCTGAGAAGAAATGAAATTGCTGAAAAGAAATGAAATTGGAAGCAACTTCTTAAACGATTCTGTAGTGTGCATTTGATTGTATAGAAACAGACTAAATAATGGTTGAGCTTTCAAAAGCCATTTGCATCTGCATTTCATAGTGAACTTAATCCCGTATAGACTAAGGACAACTAGCATGCGCTCTACATATCTAGGTCAAAGATCTCAGTTTTTAAAAACATTTAAGGAAATATTTATCAGCTGGATAAATTGCACACCTTTAATGGAAAAAGCTGCACAAGAATCTTTTTTGTGTCTTCAAATATTTACTGTAAACATGTACAAAAATACAAAACCTGTCCAGTGGTATGTTATGGTGGCATTGTTGATGCTGCCGTAATGAAACATTATTTGTTGTCATTATAAACTTCTATTTTCATGAGTTTATAATTTGCCCATGAGTTTCTTTTGGGGACTGAAAGGTAACACATGTCTTTGCTAGGAGTTTTTTTTTTTATATATAATTTAACTACATATCCAAAGAAATCGCTTTGCCTCTTTTTGAAGGTAAGCAGGTGTTTTCTGCATTTGAATGATTTTGTATCCTATGTGCTGCAATAACTAGGCATAATGGAGTAAGTTGATGTATTTTCACTTTGGAGTCTCCATACTTTCATTCTGTGTTTACATCAGACATAAAACATTCTAAAATACCTTCTCTTTTGTTGTTTAGTATTCGTACTTATATGTAAGTACCTGTATATCATCCAGCAGATAAAATGGTCCTTTTTATGTTTTTATTGAAAAAATATATTTATTTTTATTAAAAAAAGACAGTATTATTTGCTTCCCCATGTGTTTGTATGAAAGGCTGACATTAAAAAAGCAGGGTTTATAAAAAGAGAAATGGTTACAGCTGGTCTGGTAGTAAGTTTATCCTGAAAGCTGTAAATATCCCATCTATGCTTTTATAAGCAGCCCTTAAGAGCAGAGAGGGACTGCGGTCCAGCCAGAACTCAATGCTTGATGTTACATGCAAAGTGTGTAACGCAATACTCGGGCTCCGGGATGGCCCTGTTGAGATTTTCATGCCTCTCTCCTAATTCAGGTGGTTGTCAACAGCTCTCGTTAAAAGTCATTCAAGGCCTTACAAGAACTGTGAGAAGCTTTGGCAAATCTGTGGTGCTTTGAACCATTGAGTTGCATAGAGGAATCATCCCGTTTCAGTGGTTCTCGTGATTAGCTGTGGCATGACACATTTCTGAATGTTTAAAATTATCACAAATGTGTGCAAATGTTGTCCACTGTCCTAAGTTCAGGTGGCTGATTATTAATAAATGTCCTAAACTCCCAGTTAGCTAATTCTTTTCACATTTAAGTCACAGGAGAGACAACTTCCGGGTAGTATTTTCAAGCAGGTAAGGCTCTTGCAATGCTAATGACGTTCACTGTGGGTGGTGGAGGAATACGCTGAGTTAAGACATCTCAATATGAGTGATAGGCAGTATTCACTTTATTGCCCGAGACAGCGCACATTTATACAGTTACAGCTTGAGCATGCCAACGTGTCAGTCGGTAATTGGTTGCTAGCGGTATTTGATTGTTTGTTAGAAAGATTACTTCAGTCTGGCCAGCCCAGATTACGGTCGATAAGCAATGCAGCTTCTTCAAGAACCATACTCATGTCCACGCTCTCGTAGCCAATTCCCAACAATTCCCCCTTTTTCTTTTTGCGCGAGCAGGACATCCCCCATGCTCTTATTTATCATGCGTTTTACATAGGATAAGATACAGCTTAAGCTTAACAGTACAATTATAGCTACTACTAAAAACATTAGCAAGCTCTGCAAAATATTGCGGAGCCATCCAGTAACACCCAGCCAGTCTGTAAGGCCATTTATGCCAAAGAAACCAACATCCTCTGTTACCTTTTGGGTATGCTCCATTAATTGCTGGATGTCTCGGTGTATGGATCGCGAAGGATCATTAAGATCCATACAACACATCCCATCAAAATCTCGACAGCCATGACCATGAGCCAAAAGTAAAAAGTCTATGGCCATACGGTTTTGTAAGATCGCATGCCGCATATGGTCCTTACCATTCGCTAAATCAGAAAGAGCCCTGGTGGTAAGATTAGCCTGTTTGACCACCCAACAAGAAAGACGATCCAGATTTCGATGGGCCCTGTGATTACCCTCGCCCAGACCCTGAGTCCACATGTGACTCCTGATGTGTATCACAGCATACGGGCACAACCGTTGTTGCAAAGC